ATCCCTTCATAAATATTATCCTGCTCACACTCCAACAGCACGTCAAGTCATAAAAATCACTAGCCTCCACTCACTCTTATCTAACTCGCTCACATAAGCCTGTTGGATGTCCAACCCTCTCGCATACAAAACCTCCCCCACCCCGTCCAGTTTTTCGTAGGATGACCCCTATCCCATCTTCCCTCGACCACAGATTTATATATCCTCCAAGTCATTCTGTTTTGCTCCATCCTTTTTAAGTGTCCAAACCAGCTCAACAAAACCTCCTCAGCCCTCTGGATAATATTTTTATTAACTTCACACCTAGTCTTCAAGCTACGAATTCCCTGCGTAATATCCACACCACACATTTCCCTCAGACATGACATCTCCACTGCCTCCAGCCTTCTCGCTACAACGTTTAAAACCCATTCGTCACACCCATATAAGAGTACTGGTGCAACTACACTCTGGTACAGTCTTCTTTTTGTCTCTTCAGATGACTTAGTGCACAACCCACCGTCTTTCACCTTCGTCATTTTTATGGTTCACCTCATTTCTCATAGAACCATTCGCCGAGTTGTCTATTCTCATATATCTGAACACATTCACTTCCTCCATACTCCCTCCTTCCAATCTAATATCCATCTTTCATTACCTGGATTTTTTGTTACTTTCATCCCCTTACTCTTTCCTGTGTTCACTATTAATTTCCTTCTTTACATACCTTCCCAAATTCGTTTACCAACATCTGGAGCTTCTCTTCAGAATCTCCCAAAAGAACCGTGTCATCGGCAAAAAGCAACTATGACAACTTCCTTTTTGCATTAGATTCGTTATCAGATACAGAGGAGGTTGAAAGCAGGTGTGTAGAGTTTAAGGGGAAGGGTTTGGAGGGATTAGGAGAGATTTTTGAGGGGATTAGGAGAGGTTTTAGAGGGTGGAGGGTTGAAGAGATTTAGCGGAGGTTTGGAGAGGTCTGTCGGGTGTTCGAAGAGGTTTGGGGACAGGAAGGCAAACGGCTTCCAGCCATCGATCGCGGGGACGACCCCGGGTAATATACCTCCAGGACTGCCGCTAAGATCCTCGACACACAGCTAATGCCCCCCAGCGCACAACTAAGACCCCCAGCACACAGCTACATCCCAACACACAGCTAATATCCCCCAGCATAAATCTTATGGGTGGAGAAAGCGTCCAGCCAGGTTTAACACTTCAGGCAAATAAGTACAGGGAAGAATCTCCCAGGCTAAAGTTTTATAATATTTTAATAAGACACAGTATCCAGTGTTAAGGAATAAATTGCATAAGATGCCTTAAACTGCATATTGTATCATATTAACATACTTTCTATATTAAAGCTTTATGAAGAGGAGCTCACTCACTGGTAAGCTGGTTGAGTGAGCTTGAAAGCCAGTGAGTAGACGGTAGAGGAAACAAAAGTAATAATAACAATAATAATAATAATAATCATTTATTTCTATAAGTACATGTGCAACATATACAAACTAACGTTACCACAATAAAATGGCACATGTGCCCTTTTACCATGGTATATTTTTTTACAAGTAGAATTAATTAAAATCGAAAGAATTATAAGTGAAAAAAATAAGGAATGAAATAAGTATTTGTGTGTAAGAACCGCCTTGTGTAGGCACAGTGAGCAACACAAACAGTGAAGCAGTTACTGCCTAGGACGCTGCATGTGTAGGCAAATGTATTATCTCTAAACTGCAAAATGTATTTACGTTTGTTGCTACCCAGTTAAGTTTACTGAATTCATTTAAAATAAGAAGGAAGATTTTATTGTTTTTTTTTCTTAAAGGATTATTGTGCCCAGTGAATGTTCGGGGCCCTCCGTACCTGTGGGTCACTCACACCTGTGGGTCACTCACACCTGTGGGTCACTCACACCTGTGGGTTGCTCACACCTGTGGGTTGCTCACACCTGTGGGTTGCTCACACCTGTGGGTTGCTCACACCTGTGGGTTGCTCACACCTGTGGGTTGCTCACACCTGTGGGTCGCTCACACCTGTGGGTCACTCACACCTGTGGGTTGCTCACACCTGTGGGTCACTCACACCTGTGGGTTGCTCACACCTGTGGGTTGCTCACACCTGTGGGTTGCTCACACCTGTGGGTTGCTCACACCTGTGGGTTGCTCACACCTGTGGGTCACTCACACCTGTGGGTCACTCACACCTGTGGGTTGCTCACACCTGTGGGTTGCTCACACCTGTGGGTTGCTCACACCTGTGGGTTGCTCACACCTGTGGGTCACTCACACCTGTGGGTCACTCACACCTGTGGGTTGCTCCACACCTGTGGGTCACTCACACCTGTGGGTTGCTCACACCTGTGGGTTGCTCACACCTGTGGGTTGCTCACACCTGTGGGTTGCTCACACCTGTGGGTCACTCACACCTGTGGGTCACTCACACCTGTGGGTCACTCACACCTGTGGGTTGCTCACACCTGTGGGTTGCTCACACCTGTGGGTCACTCACACCTGTGGGTCACTCACACCTGTGGGTTGCTCACACCTGTGGGTCACTCACACCTGTGGGTTGCTCACACCTGTGGGTTGCTCACACCTGTGGGTTGCTCACACCTGTGGGTTGCTCACACCTGTGGGTCACTCACACCTGTGGGTCACTCACACCTGTGGGTTGCTCACACCTGTGGGTTGCTCACACCTGTGGGTTGCTCACACCTGTGGGTTGCTCACACCTGTGGGTCACTCACACCTGTGGGTCACTCACCTGTGGGTTGCTCACACCTGTGGGTCACTCACACCTATGGGTCACTCACACCTGTGGGTTGCTCACACCTGTGGGTCACTCACACCTGTGGGTTGCTCACACCTTTGGGTTGCTCACACCTGTGGGTTGCTCACACCTGTGGGTTGCTCACACCTGTGGGTCACTCACACCTGTGGATCACTCACACCTGTGGGTTGCTCACACCTGTGGGTTGCTCACACCTGTGGGTCACTCACACCTGTGGGTTACTCACACCTGTGGGTCACTCACACCTGTGGGTTGCTCACACCTGTGGGTCACTCACACCTGTGGGTCACTCACACCTGTGGGTTGCTCACACCTGTGGGTCACTCACACCTGTGGGTCACTCACACCTGTGGGTCACTCACACCTGTGAGACACTCACACCTGTGGGTTGCTCACACCTGTGGGTTGCTCACACCTGTGGGTCACTCACACCCGTGGGTTGCTCACACCTGTGGGTCACTCACACCTGTGGGTTGCTCACACCTGTGGGTTGCTCACACCTGTGGGTTGCTCACACCTGTGGGTCACTCACACCTGTGGGTTGCTCACACCTGTGGGTTGCTCACACCTGTGGGTCACTCACACCTGTGGGTCACTCACACCTGTGGGTCACTCACACCTGTGGGTCACTCACACCTGTGGGTCACTCACACCTGTGGGTCACTCACAAACCCGTGGGTCACTCACAACCTGTGGGTCACTCACACTTGTGGGTCACTCACACCTGTGGGTCACTCACACCTGTGGGTCACTCACACCTGTGGGTTGCTCACACCTGTGGGCTACTCACACCTGTGGGTTGCTCACACCTGTGGGTCACTCATACCTGTGGGTTGCTCACACCTGTGGGCTACTCACACCTGTGGGTTGCTCACACCTGTGGGCTACTCATCTGTGGGCTACTCACACCTGTGGGTTGCTCACACCTGTGGGCTACTCACACCTGTGGGCTACTCACACCTGTGGGTTGCTCACACCTGTGGGCTACTCACACCTGTGGGCTACTCACTCATGTAGGCTACTCATACCTTTGGACTACTGACAACTGTGGGCCATTGGCTAACTGCCCCTTTTGTTACTATGTCAATCTGTCTCAGTTGATAGTGTGTCTGTCTAGCGTTTACTAAACGAAGGATCGAGCCTTGAGCACTCCTTGCACTGACTGATCCACACGGATTCAGCGCTTCACCTTAATCTAATACGGAGTTGGTACTGAAAACAATGAACTTAACACAAAACAGATAATGCTAAATAATTCTGGTGCTGAAAGCTGGTAGTTTGGGAGCCCTTTATGATTGTGTTGTGTGTTGCTTCTATGAGTGATTATATTGTGTGTGTGTGTGTGTGTGTGTGTGTGTGTGTGTGTGTCACTTCTGTGAGTGTGTTGTCTGCAGCGCATTTGTAAATAATTGTGCTGTCGTTTGTGATACAATTGTTAATATGTTTTTCTGACAAAACTCGGTCATTGTTCGTAACTCAGTCGTTCGTAACTCCGAGAGTATCACGTGTACAGTAGCTTGAGTACCGTGTGCTCATTGGGTCGTTAATGTTTGCAAATATGCACGCCCTGGAAAATTTACGCTAATTTACATAATTTTGAAACTATAAAATTACCATGGGACCACAACAGTTATGAGGTGTTACATACGTGATGGTTTCCTGGACGCAGGTGACGTGTTGTGTCTGCTTACAGACTGTGTATACACCTAGCCGTGCTGATATCTCAGTGGACATATACCCCTCGGTGTTTATCTCAGTTTATATACTCCTAGGAGGGTTATATACGATATCTTGGTGTATATCTCGGTGGATATGCACCTCTCGATGTGTATCTCTCAGTATACATATACTAAAAGATATATTTCTCGCAGCCTACATAATTTAATGTCTACGGTAGTACTCACCTATCTGTGGTTGCAGGGGTCGAGTCATAGCTCCATGTTACAAATACAATGTATTTAAGAAATGTTGCGAACATTACACAGTTGATGGAGGTGACTACCGCTTGGTACGTTGAAACTAGTTGGTTGCATACGTACTTGTTGTATTTGTTAATGATTCAAAAGTTTACAGATGCATTTTAATACATTTCTGCGTAATATTTTTTGAGTATGTGCATAATGATGATAATATTCATACAGAACTTAACAGAACTATCTCTGTACACGTCTAACATATAAGAACTGATGTTGATTTTGTTCGTTTCAGGTTCTCTCCATTGACGGAATACGATGCACAAAATAAAAAAAGGAATAAAAAAGAAGATCAAAGGAAAGAAGGAAAAAAATGATGAGTTGTTTACCCCAGAAGAACTAGAAAAGTATAAAAGAGAAAAAGAGGAGGAAGCCCGTCGCCTTGCCGAGCAGCAGGAGAAGAGCGAAGACACAGAACAACTCCAGCAGGAATCAGCACCCTCAGTCGAAGTCGCTGCAGCAGCAATAATAACAGGGTCAGACACCAAGGAATCTACTTCAAGTGGTGGAGACGACTGGAGGAATTTCTTCGCCGCTACCGACACCGTTCTCAAGCAAACCTCTGATAATCTCGTACACATCAAGGAGGCAAGCTTTTTCCATAAGAAGGAGGACAAACCAGTAGAACCCAGTGCCGAAGCCACTGTCAGTGCTGCCGCAGTAGTTTCCAGCACTGCCAAGAACTGGGTTGACCTCGAGAAGGGTGGGATCGATGACGAGACTACAGTAGAAGAAGAAGAACAGCAAGAGGAGCCACAGCCAGAGCCAGAACCAGTTGAACTCCAGTTCATCGAAGACCTTCCAGAAGTTGACGTTGATGAATTCACTGATGTCTTCGACACAACCTATGTTGACAATGTAGAAAGTGGTCAAGTGAAGCTTCATTACATCCCCGACAGTCCAACATCAACAGATCCAAACGAACCTGATCCTTTTGATACATCTGTTGTTGACAAAGTTTTACATATCGAGAAACCAAAACCAAAAGTAAGTGAAAGTAAACCAGAGAAGAAGAAAAAGCTTGTGAGCTTAGGGTGTGCTGTTGAGGTTTTAACTGGTACTGCTCAAGGTGTCGAGAAGCCTACACCTCCAGGAAGCTCAAAGCGACGCCGAGTAGTACCAAGAGAAATTAACCTGCTTGCTGATGCTAATGGCGGTGAAGAAAGTCTAGACACTAGTGAAACCGTTGAAAAAGAACAAGAAAATAAGGTAGAAGATGTTAATATTCTCGATGAGATTCTCTGTGTAGGTGATCTAGACGCTGAGCTTCCTGAACCTGGTGTTGTCTTACATCTCACTTCTCGCTCCGCTTCGCCTCTTGTTCCTTCAGCAGAAGATGAAACTAAGAGCGATGCTGGAGTGATCGTCAACATTGGTTGTGAAGGTAATAACAAAGAAGTTGATCTAAGTGAATTTCTGGAATCTTCCGGAGAAGATCAAGACTCTAAAGAAACCAAACCAGACAACGGCAAGGATCTTGACCTTAAGGATCTTGTTGCTGAATTTGATATTATAGACAAATCTGAAGTTACTAACGAAGCTTTAGGGGTTGCTGAGCCAGACTCTAACGAAGACGAGTTTGATGCTGAATTCGCTTTCTTAGCTGCTGAGTCAGTAGCGAAAGCCAAGGAAAAAGAATTAGAAGAACTTGAGGAAGATCCATTTGACACCTCAGCTGCTGCTCAAGTGCTAGGTCCAGACGATAACGTTGTTGCTGAAAAGGATCCATTCGATGTTGGGTTTGCTGAGGAGGTATTAGGGGAGGAGAAACAGAAAGTCAAGCCCTCTAAGCCACCACCTCCACGACCAAAACCACCTAAAATCCAGGAGGAAACTCCCGTCGAAGTCGATCCTTTTGATACTTCAATAGCAGATAAACACTTACCTGTTGACCCATTCGCCTTTACAGAAACTGATACAAATCTTCCTGAAACTTTACAGCCGCAGCCAGAAAGTCAGCTCGTTAAATCTGAGAACTTTGACCCCTTTGATACTTCGATTGCTGACAGCTTTGGTAAAACTGAGCTCAAGGTTCTTGAGACTGAATTAATTAGTGGCAACGAGGCAGAACCTGCCGAAAGCTTAAAGAAGAGTGTTTCTGATTTTGATTTTAACCCAAGAGAAGAGGAACCTGAAACAACTATTCAGGCCAAACCGGCACCCCCAGCTAGACCTCAACCCCCTTGTCTTCTCACTGGCACAGACGACAAGGACACCTCTGCCCCCGTTCTTGCTCCTTCCCAGAGCACTGACATTGATGATTTTGACCCATTTGACACATCTATAGCTGCAAAAGTTGAAATACAATCTCTAGAAGCGGAACTTCTTAATCAGCCAGAACAGGAACAACAAACAGAAAAACAAATTTGTGCTGAACCGACGAAGACTCGTCCACCCCGACCTGCTCCAGCTCAAGCTCATCTTCTTGCAACAACACCGACAGACACCAATCCGACTCTTCAACCTTCAACTGTAAACAACGAAGTTAAAGAAGACGACACCTTTGATCCTTTCGACACATCTATCGCTAACAACTTCGGAAAAACAGAGCTTAAATCTCTCGAGAATGAGCTGTTGTCAGCTACAGAAACTGCAAAGGACATAAATATAGTTGCCAGTGAAAAACCTAAAAGGGAACTACTAAATTTGCCAATTAAGCCCCTTCAGCCTCCCTCTCCTAAGTGTCTTCTAGCAACTACACCCATAGACGAACAGCCAACTCTTCAGCCAGTAATTGAACCAACAGCTGAGCCAACTGAAAGCCAGTCAGACGATTTCGACCCCTTCGACACATCTATTGCGGACAAATTTGGTAAAACTGAGCTGAAAGTTCTCGAGAGCGAACTTCTTGTGTCTGAGTCTCTCCAAAAGGTTGAGGTCGACGATAGCTTTGATCCTCGAGCTAAAACAGAGGCTCCACTTAGGCCCCCAAGACCCTCTCGGCCGTCATCGCCATCTCAGCCTCACTGCTTGCTAACTGCATCTCCAGTAAGCACGCCAAAAGACGTTGAGCTCCTTGCTCCTACAGAACTCATACCAGTAAATACAAACGAGGACGTTGATCCATTTGATACTTCTATTGCTGATAACTTTGGAAAGACAGAACTTAGGCATCTCGAGAAGGAATTACTGACTTCAGGAGTACCCACAGTGCATGACGATTTTGATGACTTTGATCCAAGAAAAGAAGAAGCTCAGAAACGTTCAACGCTAACTCACGCTTTGGCACCTAAAAGACCACCAGCTCCAGCTTCTTGTCTCCTAGTTGCTACCCCAACCGACAGCAAAGTTCCACTTCAACCCTGCCTTAACCCAGTGCAAGAACCTTTAGAGGGAATTACCGCTGAAGGATTTGATCCCTTTGACACTTCCATTGCTGACAGACTTGGTAAAACCGAAATCAAAGTTCTCGAAGAAACCCTTTTTGCAAAAGAAAGCGAAACATCAATCAATTCTCTCTCAGTTACGAGTGAACCAGGAAATTTCAAAGCTGATCACTTACTCAGCTCATCACCCATAGGTGATCTTGGACCAACTCTACAGCCTGTTGCAGAATCAAAAAGAGAGGAACCTGAAGATTTTGATCCATTTGATACTTCGATTGCAAATCAATTTGGCAAGACTGAACTAAAAACTTTAGAGAGTGAACTTCTCTCAGATTCAGGAACCAAGAGAAGTTTAAGCGACAACGAATTTGATCCTCGGGAAGAAGATAAGGTTCCAAAGCGACCTCCACTACCTGTTAAAAAGCCAGGCTCACCCTCGAGTCTCTTGGACTCTTGTGACTACCATAATATATTTGATCGACCCATTCAGGCACTTCAAGCTCCGTCTTCAGCTGCTGCCCTTGACAACTGCGACCCATTTGACACATCAATAGCTGATAATATTGCTCCAAGCAAAGCCGAATTAAAATATCTCGAAACAGAACTCTTAAGCGCTGCTCAGGACCCGTTTGATACTTCTAACTTTCCCTGAATCTCAACATCAAAATGGATTTCGGTGATAACATGAAGAACCCCTTCCTCTTCGATGACCCCGCACCACCAACTACTGTTGGGGATCCTGCTGTCAACCCCTTCCTTATGGGAGGATCGTTTGACTATTCTGAAGCAAACTACTCTGGAATTAATCCATTTAGTGACCAGATTGATGATTCCAATGCAGCTGCGGCTGGTCTATTTGGGGATTCAATGTCATATCCCACTGACATGAATCCTTTTGGCATTGTAACCTCGGATGTTTCACACTTTGGCGAAGCAGCGCCACAGATCGAGGAAGACATATTTGGAACACCTGTCTCTCAAGTCACTCACGACTCAGAAGACCTATTCGGTAGCCCAACAATGCCTCCAACAGTGTCACAAGTGCCGCCTCATCCACCAGTGTCTCCAGCTGTCTCACAGGTGACACCCCATCCACCAGCATCTCCTGCTGTATCACAGGTGGCACCTCATCCACCAGTTCCTCCAGCTGTTTCGCAAATGGCACAGCATCCACCAGTTCCACCAGCAGTTTCGCAAATATCGCACCATCCGCCGATACCTTCAGCTATGTCTCAAGTGGCACAGCATCCACCAACATCTCCAGCTGTCTCACAGATGGCACAGCATCCACCAGTGTCTCCAGCGGTTTCACAGATAGCACAACATCCACCAGTATCTTCAGCTGTCTCACAGATGGCACAGCATCCACCAGTGCTTCCAGCTGTCTCGCAGATGGCACACCATCCACCAATGCCTCCAGCCCGACCACCTGCACCGTCCTCCCCCATTGTTGATCTAATGAGTGACAGTCCTGTTGTACAGGACGCCCCCACAGCTCCAGGGAGACCGCCGCCTCCCAGACCACCACCCCCATCCAAAGAAACTAAAGATCTTTTGCAAACGGTTATAGGAGCCATGGAGGCAACAACAGACACGCTACACGAAAAATTAAATAAAACCAGATCGCCATGCCCATCCCCTGGGAGTGGAACCGCCACCTCGCGAAGCCCTACACCAGACATCCAAATCACCTCCCCTAAAAGGGATTCAGATGCCTTCAGTGCCATATTTGGTCAAACTATAGACATGAGTGATCACGAGATGGATGAGACGAAGGCTGCTGCTACAGCTGCCCCGGCTCCTGCACCTGCTACCTCAGATGAATTTGATCTTTTTGGTGACGCTCAACCTCTAAAACAAAAAACCAATCAGGACATTTTAAGTTTGTTTAATAAGCCACAACAGAGACCATCACCACAGGTTGACTTACTATCTGATGACTTATTATCGTCCACAGTACCCGCCAAAGATAGTGAAGTAGATAAAGATAAAACATCAGATCTACTCTCCGGTGATCCTTTTGACGAAAAAGAACCATTAGATGCTTTATCTGCCGAAGACGTAAGCAAAGGCCAAGACCTTTTCACACCATCTGACAAAGAATCTGTCTCGAGCGAAACGCCTGCTGTTACGGAAACTTGTCTGTCTATTGAGGCCCAGGGTGAGCCAGCTCTAGTGGAGGAATCTGTTTCACCAGAGCAAATCAGCGAAAAGACGGATAGTGAACCTACTGTAATTGAGGCTACTCATCAAGATACTGGCGAAGAAGCTAATAAGATACATGTAATGGAGGCCGAGGCCCTTGATTCCTCCTCCGCGAACGAAGAAAAAGTAGAGGCTATGGAAGTGTTTGGCTCTCCTGAGCCTGCTCCTCCAACCGTCAGCAGCGAACACTCGAATTCTCCAGAAGTTTCTAGCCATCTGAGCACTCCGGTAAAGCCATCTCATCCCGAGCCAGTGCCAGAAATCAATAGTTTAGAAGATCAGACAAAAACAGATGTAGTCGATGCATTTGGCATATCAGATGTCCCTTCTTCTGCGAGTGAGCCAAAGGATAATGTAACTGATGCGTTTGGAGACTCCATCACATTTGGAGAAACCAATGCATTTGCATTTCCAGACGCATTCGTTGCTCCCTCTAAACTTGATTCAGGAACAGCGCTATTTGGGGACACATCAAGTTCACTTTCGAACTCTACTCCGAACAGCGACTCTCTTTTTGGTGCTCCACAAGCTGCCCCTTCAGCTGCAAGTCTTTTCGGAGACATCTCAGAACCGGTGCCGCCACCATCTCCAGCTATTAGTCTGTTTGGTGACGTGACCCACCCTTTACCTCCAGATTCCCCGGCAAACAGTCTCTTTGGTGACGTTGCGCAACCTGCCCCTCCGGCCTCCCCTGCAGTGGGCCTCTTCAACAATACTTCCTCAACTGGGTCCTCAGGTTTTGATATCTTTGGAAGTGAAGCAGCTCCAATTCCTGTACCGTCAGGAGCGGATTCCACGGGGGCGGCTCTCTTCGGATCTACAGCTCCTGCCCCTAACGTAGGAATGAGCTTATTTGGTGCAGGTGACGAGCCTTCGTTGGACATCTTCGCCGAAAGTGATGGTAACACAATGGTCAATCCATTTGCTCCCCCGTCCATAGCTCCGACTGCAGCGCTGACCATTGGGGCAGCGCCCACATCTACCAGTGGGGTGAAGGTTGCAACAGATGAGGAATTTGACGCCTTCTCTGCCAGATTCGACAGCGCTACAGGCGAAGAGGGAGACGAGCTTCATATCGATCCGTTTGCGTCCACAGCACGAGGTGAGTTTTATGAATTATATATTATAATTAAAATCTTATTGAATAAGTTTAAAAGAATGTGTTGGAGCTGCTGCTTTGTGTGATAATGAATTCAGTCAAAAATATAAGAAGTAGAGAATTTATTTTGCAATAAAATGGCCATCAGTGATCTGCATCAATGAAAAATTGTAAGGAAAAGCATCTTACAGTGTAAAAAACAAAGGACTGTTGAAAAAGCCATTATAAAAAATAGAGTGGAAGGATTAATAATTTATTCCATGAATTTAAATTAGCTTAATTAACATAATTGCATTTTTGCATATAAAAGAATGAGGTGTTGTACGTCTTCCCGAGCAGCACCGTCACCTTGGGGTGAGACCACTGGGTCGGCTGGAGCACCTGCCGATGGCTTTGGGTTCGGCGACAGCGCTCCCTTCGACGCCTTCCTCGCTATGAATGAGCCACCACCGCCACCACAGTCGACGCCCCGGCGAGCGCCACGGCAGACGTCGGCAGACTCAGATGAGGGACCAATGACTGTGGTTATCAAGTTAGTATAGTGTATTACCACTGCTTGATGAAACTCTTTTTAATAAACAAGTTTGCACGTTTTATTTTCCCCATTTATTGTTGTGGATTTTAAAGGCTACAACGGCTTGAACAGCACGGATCCTGCTCCCAGAAGTCTGTTCTTTTTCAGTTTTATTTCTTGTTTTTATTAACTTGAAGTTTCTCAAGTTTATTTGAGCTATTGCATACATTTACAATGTTCAAATTTTGGATTTGTTATTTCACGTGTTCAGCCCAATATCATTTTTTTATTAACACATTGACCTTCTCACACCAGGGTGGCCCGAAAAGAAAAACTTTCATCATCATTCACTCCGTAACTGTCTTGCCAGTTATAAAACTGCAACATTAACACCCCTCCTTCAGAGTGCTCGCACTGTACTTCACATCTCCAGGACTCAAGTCCAGCCTGCCGGTTTCCCTAAATGTTACCCTGCTAACACTCCAACAGCACATCAGGTCCTATCTAATATGCTCACGCATGCTTGCTTGAAGTCAAAGCCCCTTGCACACAAAACCAATTTTCCCCCTCCCTCCAACCTCTCCTAGGCCGACTTCTACCCCGCCTTCCCTCCACTACAGATTTATACACTCTTGAAGTCATTCTATTTTGTTCCACCCTATCTACATGTCCGAACCACCTCAACAACCCTTCTTCAGCCCTCTGAAGTTTTGGTAATCCTGCACCTCCTCCTAATTTCCATACTACGAACTCTCTGCATTATATTCACACCACACATTGCCCTCAGACATGACATCCCTGCCTCCAGCCTTCTCCTTGTTGCAACATTCACCACCCATGTTTCACACCCATGTAAGAGCGTTGGTATAACTATACTCTCCTATATTCCCCTCTTTGCTTCCCTTGACAAAGTTCTTTGTCTCCACAGATTCCTTCCTAAGTGCACCACTCACTTTTTTCCCTCATCAATTCTATGGTTCACCATCTTTCTTAGACCCATCTGCTGACACGTCCACTCCTAAATATCTGAATACATTCACCTCCTCCCTCCAATCTGATATCCAGTCTTTCGTCACCTAATTTTTTTGTTATCCTCATCACCTTACTCTTTCCTATACTCACTTTTAATTTTCTTCTTTTACATACCCTACCAAACTCACCCACCACCCTCTGCAACTTCTCTTCAGAATCTCCCAAAAGCACAATGTCATCAGCAAAGAGCAACTGTGACACCTCCCACTTTGTGTTAGATTCTTTATCTTTTAACCCCACACCTCTTGCCAAGACCCTAGCATTCACTTCTCTTACAACCCCATCTATAAATATACTGAACAACCATGGTGACATCATACATCCTTGTCTAAGGCCTACTTTTACTGTGAAAAATCTTCCTCTCTCCTACATACTCTAACCTGAGCCTCACTATCCTCGTAAAAACTCTTCACTGCTTTCAGTAGCCTACCTGCTATTCCATACATTTGCAACATCTGCCACAATGCACCCCTATCCATCCTGTCGTATGCCTTTTCCAAATCCATAAATGCCACAAAAACTTCTTTACCCTTATCTAAATACTGTTCACCTATATGTTTCGCTGTAAACACTTGATCTACACACCCCCTACCTTTCCTAAAGCCTCCTTATTCATCTGCTATCCTACTCTCCGTCTTACTCTTAATTCTTTCAATAATAACTCTACTATACACTTTACCAGGTATACTCAATAGACTTATTTCTTTATAATTTTTGCACTCTCTTGTGTCCCTTTTGCCTTTATACAAAGGAACTATGTATGCATACTGCCAATCCCTAGGTACCTTACTTTTTTCCATACATTTATTAAGTAAAAGCACCAACCATTCCAAAACTATATCCCCACCTGCTTTTAACATTTCTATCTTTATCCCATCAATCCCGGCTGCCTTACCCCCTTTCATTCTACCTACTGCCTCACGAACTTCCCCCACACTCACAGCTGGCTTTTCTTCACTCCTACAAGATGTTATTCCTCCTTGCCCTATACACGAAATCACAGCTTCCCTATCTTCATCAACATTTAACAATTCCTCAAAATATTCCCTCCATCTTCCCGATACCTCTAACTCTCCATTTAGTAACTCTCTTCTCCTATTTTCAAGTATCAAATCCACTCGTTCCCTAGGCTTCCTCAGCTTATTAATCTCACTCCAAGACTTTCTTATTTTCAACAAAATTTTCAACTAAATAAATAATTAAAATAATTAAGATAGATATAATTTACTCATACGCGACACTATTTGACCAGAGATATTAATAATTTATTTACCAGTAGTTTTAGATCGAGACCATGTTGTTATTGTCATTATTGTTGTTGTTGTTGTGGTTGTTGGGTTTAAGGGTCATGAACGAGACCTTGAAAGAAGTTACGAAGTCGTTGTGTTTACAGACCAGCAGGGCTGGAGGCATCGGGTTCGTCACCGCGGTCCGTGTCTCCGATGCCCGTGTTGGCACCGCCGCCCGCATCTGCTGCCTCCACAGCCTTCACCGACTCCACACCCAGGTTCAACCCCTTCGACCGAGGGGCTGATGATGTGGCTGAGGCCGTCATCGATGCTACTGGTGAGATCGCCGCTTCATAACAAAACTTATGACTTTATCCTATCATAATCAAAATCAAAATTGTACGTCTTCTCTACAAGACTTATTAAAGCCATATAGCATGATCTAATAGAATACTCAATTCTCTTGTATTTATTGTAACGAATCTAATGACCATATGTACTTTTATTGCCTTATTAATCTTAAGTTAGTTTTAAATTTGCCCGAAATACTCCGCATATAACTGGCCTTTTGGCATGTACATCCAACTATTATATTCCTTTGTACATTTATCATGTCAAAATAAATTATTATTATTATTATTATTATTATTATTATTATTATTACTATATTTTCACTCGCGACATAATAAAGATCCAAAACGGACCTAACTGCCCTGTCTTGTATTGCCCAAAGAGCAGGCAAGCATAGGAATGAGTAAGATTAAAGCAAGATAGGGCAGCGACAAGGCTTGTGGGTATACAGCAAGAGAAGGGTTGGAAAGAATAAGGAGCCCAACCACTTTGGGTTCTATTTTAAGTGTGTATTTGTTTTTTGTCACAAAACGGCTAGTATTTCCCAGCCTCAGAGTAGTCAGGAAGTGGAACGATCCAGACAGTCAAGTGTACAAATCATACAAAGCTTGACGAACAGGTACAATAGGGCTACATGCAGCCTGCCTTGACTTAGCTTCTGACGTTCTTCTCTTTTATTCTTCACTAGCTAGTCAGTACTGTATGATTTGTGTCCATTCCCTCATAGAGGTGCCGCCTTCATGCTTGTGAAGACCTCTTGATCTGACGGAATGGAGCCACCCTCCACTTCCTCGGATTGAAAGCAATTGCCTCCTATTCCCCATGCACTCTATGCCCCCCCCCCCCATGTTTAGCGTTTCCCTATGCATATAGTAATGATAGTAATAATAAAAAAGTTAATAATAATAATAATAATAATTATTATTATTATTATATTTAAAATAATTATGCCAATAATAATAATATCAACATAAACCACCCCCACTACAACACACACCAGCACCACCACATAAACCACCACCCACTACAACACACACCAGCACCAACATATAAACCACCACCCACTACAACTCACTAACAAGCAAGGTTCCACCTACAGCTCGTCCCGGGGAACTGGAACGTACAGACTCACAAGAAACACCACCCACCCCGCTCTTCGAGGAGGACCAGTCCCAGCCACTAGAGCCCTACCCACGCACCCAGATGCCAGCGCCCGTCTGGGAGATGCATCTACGCCAGCCCAACAAGAAGAAGATTACCGGACAAAGGTAATGTGCCTTACATCACTCTCTGCCTGCCTTCTCAATATTTTTTTTTTTAATGTAGTTATAGGAGAAAACTGTTTTTCAAACTTTCGAACTTAAACTAGTTAATTTTTCCACTGTATATATCCAAGCAAATGTATATAACTATAATATATATATATATATATATATATATATATATATATATATAATATAATATATATATATTATATATATTATATATATATATAAATAAATATATATATATTATATATATATATATATATATATATATATATATATATATATATTATATATATATATATATATATATATATATATATATATATATATATATATATATATATATATATATATATATATATATATATAATATATGCAATAAGATCACAGTAAACAGGTGATTTCAGAATATGCAAAACAACCACTCTGAAAGAATAGAGAAATTCCAAGCGCTTTCGTGACTACTCACATTATCAAGGAACTATGAAAGTAAACCATCCAAGGAAGCTATATAAGGGGTCCGGCCAGCACCTCACTATCAGATCCCACAACGGTTAAACACGTGACGCGCGGCGAGCCAACTTGGATAGGTTCTTTGCACAACTCGCCCACAAACTATTCTACCCAAGAAAATTTAAAAATTATTATTTATCCAGTGTATTATTAAATTCTTCCCAAATTCTATTAATTATAAATGGATCTAATTTATATAAACCAAAGGAAATATTCATATTATTGTCAAAACTGCTTTTTATGAAACAAGATTCAATTATATTCCTGTCGACCATGGACTTGCTTGATACTACTTTCTCAACTCTTTGAAAATCAATTGGATGGTTAAAATCTCTTACATGAATAAATAGAGCATTGGAATCTTGTCCAGTTCTAATGCTATATTTATGTTGTTTTAATCTTAGTTCGAGATTTTTACCAGTTTGACCGTAATAAACTTTATCGCAAATTTTACAAGGAATCTTATAGACACATCCATCAGCATTTTGGGGGGAATTCTTTATCAAAAGTTTTTTTTACTGTATCAAGATTTTTGAATACAACTTTAATATTAAAAGCCTTAAGAAGAGAAGGCATATCAACCAAGTTTTCATGGTAAGGGAGAACCAACATATTTTTAGTTGAATAAGGCTGGTTGTCCCTTTTTGGATTGTAAAAAGTATTTCTAGCAACTTTAAAAGATTTATCAATTACATTTCTTGGGTATTTTAAATCATTACCTATTTCATAAATTTTGGATATTTCCTCATCTATGAACTCAGGACTACAAATTCGTAAAGCTCTCAGAAACATTGATGAGAAAACAGACAGTTTGACTCTATCTTGATGCGAGGAATAATAGTGGACATAGGAACAGTTATTTGTAGGTTTTCTGTAAATTTTAAATTTGAATTCATTATTACCCTTAATAATTAAAACATCTAGAAAAGGCAATGAGTTATTTTCTTCAAACTCAACAGTAAAGTTTATAGAATGGGCTAAGCTATTTAATTTTCCAAGGAAATGGTGTATATCTACATTTTTGGGCATAAGACACAAAATATCATATAGCTTCCTTGGATGCTTTACTTTCATAGTTCCTTGATAATGTGAGTAGTCACGAAAGCGCTTGGAATTTCTCTATTCTTTCAGAGTGGTTTGTTTTACATATATATATATATATATATATATATATATATATATAATATATATATATATATATATATATATATATATATATATATATATATATACATATATATATATATATATATATATATATATATATAATATATATATATATATATTATATATATATAATATATATATATATATATATATATATATATATATATATATATATATATATATATATATATATATATATTATAAGTAAAATGGTTATATAGTAATAAGAGTTTCTTTTAATCTATGGTAGAATTTGTTTTAAACAAAGATCATTCATGTTACTTAATAATAATGGTAAGAATACAGTGGTGAGGCATAGAATGAATAACATGTGTAAGAGAGCACCTGAAGTGGTGAATTAATTAATAATTTTCCTCTGGGCTTGCCAGTCTGTCTCACTTCAAAGACGGTCACGGAGGTTTGACGAACAGGTCAGAGATGTGTGATGCTGTTATCCTGCTTCTCTATTTCTCTCTTGCTTACTCCAAGGCTCACCCATCCAACTGGTTTAAGTGGCATTAATGACTGAACACTTGAGTGATGGCTTCTTTTTTTGCTTAAGTGCTCCCGTGTCTCTCACTTTAGCATATATTATGTTGAGTATCGTTTGTGACTCCTTAGCATAGGCCTGTAGGACTACCGCAGTGCTCCTCTCCCATCATGTTCCTCTTATATCTGCATTATGAGATAGACATTTAACAGTTATGCCTTGCAATTATTACGTAAAACGTGAAGCATTCCAGAATAGATTTAATTAGTGTACTGTATATATTATTATAATCATCAGTATTATTATTTTTTTAAAGTGGTGTCTGAAAATATTACCATATTTAATAAAAAATGGTATCCTTATGAGCTCTTGATTCATTGCTGAAGTTAGGAAAAACTTTCCTAGGTTAATTGAAGGTAAATCTTCACTTAAATGATTGTTCCTGCTTGAGAGGTGTGTGACAGGTTTCCTGCAGCTTAAAAACCCAGCACTTTTAGTACTGCTTCTAACCCGGCAGGTTTAGTACTGCTTCTAACCCGGCAGGTTTAATACTGCTTCTAACCCGGCAGGTTTAATACTATTTATAACCGAGCAGGTTTAATACTACTTATAACCCAGCAGGTTTAATACTACTTATAACCCAGCAGGTTTAATATTGCTTATAACCCAGCAGGTTTAACACTGCTTATAACCCAGCAGGTTTAACACTGCTTATAACCCAGCAGGCTTAACACTGCTTATAACCCAGCAGGTTTAAAACTACATATAACCCTGTGATACTCCTCGCCACCTTCATCAGTGCTTATTGACAGTCCTAGGCGGGACAATTGTAGATCACTAAGTCTTCTGCTTTCTTCCTAGGACATTAATATTCAGTGATCATTTACTTTGTGAATGGGGAGTAAAACCTAGCAGCAGTACGCCATGGGATTCTTAGCTACACAACAGGTTATCATCAGACAAAGATCCTTGACATGAGGCACTTGTCCTGTTTCCTGACGGACAAAACACACCTGCTACCTGCCTTTCCTAGTTACTTTTATGTATCTAAAAATTCCTCGGCTGTCGACTTTGCAAATGAATTTATCGATGTCTGGAAATAGGTGAATTTTATCGACTTGCGTTTAAACATTTATTATGGTAAAACTACTATTGAAAAAAATATACTGACCCAGTATTATTGCCCCTTTATCACATAGACTCTACTGCTTAACTTAAATATTCATGGCTGTGGCTGCTGCTGATGATAGAATTCATGACGTAATAAATATGTATAATTATTTTTTTCAATTTCCTGTGACTTTTTCGCTTATATAAATGAAAGCATAGCCTAGTTATGAGGCGCTGTAAATGCTCAGTGTTGTCCCCAGAAGTGTGGAAGTTGGTGAGAGGTGTCAGGCTCAAAAATGCTAGTTCATTCATATTTACTTATTACACACATGGAATTTGTACACGAGGATCTCTTTCAGCTGTCCACCTCAAACTAATCCTCACATGACAAAAGTCAACTATCAGAACAATCACGAACTCAAATTACAGGCGACACATTATACCCTCATTAAAACCTCTGATTATATACATACTTAATCTAGGTGAGGTTGGGTAAGATTCGCCAGGAAACATAATTGTTTCCGGACGCGGGTCTTAGTCATATGATGACTCGAAGTTGGAGTTTTTGGTTATCTGACCGAGGCCTTCCACTGGCTTACCAGTCCGTCCATTTAAAAATTAAAGTTGAATTAAAATGCCCATATACATACTTTCTGTAAAAACCTGCACTGCAGTGGTGATATTGGTGACTCAGTGCAGTGCCTGGACAATGGTAACACAACATAGACATCATCCCCGACCCAAAAATACCTTTGATACTCTCAACGTTCATCTGAGTCTACAGAAATTCGATACAAATAAAAAGTACAAAAATGTGGAATAACTTACCAAATGAATTCAATAATTTTTACATGATAAATTCAAACACAATGAAGATGCTGTGTGTACTTAACTAGTCCATTCAGTGTTTATATTATGTATCTCCATGAAACTAATCTTTTAATTAATTTCGAAAGTCACAATTTAGTCTTTTCTAACTCGCCAATCACAATTGGCGAGTTAGAAATTCTGTTCCACTTCCCCATGGAGATAAGAGGAAATAAACAAGAATAAGAACTAGAAAGAAAATAGAAAAAAAACCAGAGGTGTGTGTATATATATATATATGCTTGTACATGTATGTGTAGTGTGACCTAAGTGTAAGTAGAAGTAGCAAGACGTACCTGAAATCTTGCATGTTTATGAGACAGAAAAAAAGACACCAGCAATCCTACCATCGTGTAAAACAATTACAGACTTTCGTTTTACACTCACTTGGCAGGACGGTAGTACCTCCCTGGGCGGTATATATATATATATATATATATATATATATATATATATATATATATATATATATATATATATATATATTATATATATATATATATATATATATATATATTATATTATTGTAACCACGAACGAGTGGTATTGATCAATAACAACACTGCGCTAGCCAAGGATTCGATCCCATGTTGTATTGACCTGCCTCATGGTAAGCGAGAACCACATGACGCTTTAAACCACAGGCCCTGTGGTTTAAATTATATATATATAATTTAATAATAAACAAACACAGTGGGATATATTTTTTTCGTTAGGTTCAGAATTATTTTTGCGAAACTATTGCATACACAAATTTTCACTTGTCTTATTCGGCAAGAAGTGCGTTGCTATTTAAGCCAAAATCGCAAGTTTTACCCATTCGGCACGACGTATATACCATTTTGAAAAAAAAGGTTTTGAATTTTTAAAATTGAATTTTGGTTCTTTTGGAACAACATACTGATACACTACATATGACGACCAGGTTTATGTAGCCCGGTGTTGTTGGACCACCATGTTGTCTTAACAACCAGGTGTGTGTATGTCAGTCATGTTGGACCACCATTGTTGTTTTAACAAACAGGTGTTTGTATGTCAGTCATGTTGGACCATCATTGTTGTTTTAACAAACAGGTGTTTGTATGTCAGTCATGTTGGACCATCATTGTTGTCTTAACAACCAGGTGTGTGTATGTCAGTAATGTTGGACCACCATTGTTGTCTTAACAACCAGGTGTGTGTATGTCAGTCATGTTGGACGACCAGTGTTGTCATAACAACCAGGTGTGTGTATATCAGTGATGTTGGGCCACCAATGTTATCTTAACAACCAGGTGTGTGTATGTCAGTGATGTTGGACCACCAGTGTTGTCGTAACAACCAGGTGTGTGTATGTCAGTGATGTTGGACCACCAGTGTTGTCTTAACAACCAGATGTGTGTGTCAGTAATGTTGGACCACCAGTGTTGTCTTAACAACCAGGTGTGTGTATATCTCAATGATGTTGGACCACCATTATTGTCTTAACCAGTGACGTGTAACTCAGTGATATCCTCGTTTCGATGCGTCTTCAAGCAAATTTAATTAAATATTGCTTTTTCTTGTATTATGCAAAGACTTGATGAAGATTATAATTATCTCTTTAGTTCTCTTAAGAACAAGTACACACAAAACATAAGCTTGAATTCACTCGTGAAAAGTTTTTCGTAGTGTCAACAAGCTACAAATATCTTCGTGCACAATTTAATTTTATGTTTTTTTTTTTTTTAGTAATGATCGGCACAAAGCATTATTGTTGCCTTGTGTAAAATTGTACAAATTGCTAATGCTTTCCCAAGTCATGCATTATACAGCAGACTGTGTGATCACTTGAGTAATTAGAATACAGAGATGCATAGGCTATGCTAGCGTGTTTTAGTACTGTAAAAGTCAGTAGTACATGTATATAGCTTCTACTTATGCAATTCTTCCCAATTCCGTAATGTAGTTTGAGTTTTATATAGACAAATCATTAATGGTTTCATATTTTTTTAGTTGTAGATAATGAAAGACATAAAAGATATAATTGGAAATTACTGAAACAAGGTTTAGCCTACACTGTATGATTTCTCAAGACTTATAGATGTTGCCTGCTGGTAGCACAATACGTAGGCAAGAAGAGGAACATGACATGGGCAATACTTGGGTATCTTTACTGTGGAAAAGTTTAGCCAGCCAGCTAGTGGCTTTATCAGTCCAACACAGAGAAAAACAGTGGAAGATCTGTGGAGGGAGCACTTTTATCACAGTGTTTTTAACTATCCTGATGGACTGGACACATCATCTCCAGGATGAGGAACTGTTGACCTCTAACTCCTTCATATCTTTTACCTTTTTTCTTTGTATTTAAGTTGTAAAGCCACTGATTGGCGAGACGTTTACACAATAAAGATACGCAAGTGTTATACACCCCATGTTCCTCTCTTCTCGCCTATGCATTGTCCTACCAGCACCCAGGATCTATGAAACACGAAACATCCTGTTGCGCAAGCGAAACGTTGTCGTAACAAAGTTTCCAATTGCTACTTTCGTGTCGTTGTTGCCATACTATCTGCGAGTAAATAAGCTATTAGCAATACTTAGAATAGTGGTTGCAAAACTTTGTCTTTGAGATCATGCACTTTCCACCATGAATCTGACGTAACCCACCACATGCAGCAGCGTTGTGACAATCATTCCCGGGCCCACGAACTGGAAGAGGAAACTCGACGACGTTTTGGTATTTCCTGAACCATATTTAAATTCGGTGAAGATCGAAATGTCGTGCATCATCGTTTTGCTGTTTAAAAACTAGATGCTATTTATTGCAGCCGTGGTACTGCAATATAGAGAAATATGTTTAGAAATAAATAAGCAAGATACAGAGTTTATAACACTGAATAGGCCTCTGAACAGGCCTGTTTGAATAGACCTCTATTTAACACTTCAGCGAGAGCTTTAGCCACCAGGCCACGGATCACCGTGACGAGCTAGTGGCAGTATTTACTTGTGAGGGCTTCTATGATTGATAGTCATAAACTAGGAGCTGCCTGCCTGGCTGTAGTGTTATGTGGAAACGAAATTTTAAGAATGTAGGTTAAGATTCTAATGGCTGTCTCACTGCATTTTTGGCGGATGACTTTCTCAAACACATCTTTCCATTGAACACAGCTACTCTCATACAGTCGTTCATGCTATGCATCAAAGATTGTAAATACGGTTAATGAATGGTTACATTCTCAGAATTTTGGGAAAGCTTTTTGTCTCCAGTTTTGAACAATTTGTTTAGGAATTATTTAAACACAGATAATTAATATAATACTCTCAGTAAATTCCATATAATGCTGATAGGTGGAAGATGTTCCATGCTCGTGGCTGCATCTTGGTGACTGTCTTCCTGACAGAATGTCTGAATCCCCTTCCAATAAATTCACCACTGAAACAGGACGAGGATTTCTTGCTGTTTCTCAACACCTGCGTTCACAGGGTTGAGAGTTCAATGATATTCAGCTTTCATAGGAAACCCGCAAATACCTGCTCTTACGAGCACTTTTATTCTGATTATCCCGTGAATGAAAGACATTCGATGTTTTCAGTGATTGTGACACTTTTATGCAGTCAAAGTATACAGTTCTCCAGTGCTATGTTCTAACATTTAAATATATAACTATCGGAAAACCAGATTTTTTCCAATGCATTTATCGGCAAAACAACTTCGAAAACGACACCTTTCTCTAGCTTCAGTTTCAAATAACAAATGGAGGAAATACACAAACATATAAGGTATAGTATTTACTTAAACTTATGACTCACGAAATCGTAATAATACGATTGTAAACCATGGGTTCTAACTCCACCCGTTCTATGGTTTACTTAAACTTAAGTTATGTAAGTATAGGTATGTGTGAGTGGTGGTGGTGGTGGGTAAGACGTGTGCCTCCCGTGCAGGTTCTGGAAGAAGGTGATCGTCAAGCTGACGGAGGGCGCGGGTTTGCAGCTCTTCAACAGCATTGAAGACAAGGATCCCTTCCAGGAGCTGCCTCTCCAGGCCTGCTACTCTGTCTCTGATATCGGTCAGTGCTCTCTTATTTTCCCTTGTCAACACCTGCTCTCTCTCCCGTTATCATTTCTCACTCCCCTCCCTCCCACCCTACCTTTCCTCTTTCCTCTGCGCAGGCTCCTTCCCTCATTACCTCTCACCAACAGCTACTTTCTCTCTCTCTCTTTCCCTCACCTCCTCTCTGTCTGTTCTGAGTATATGAAGATCATTTACTGATGAATCTTGTCCCTCAGACTTAGTGCAATTCATGCTTACAGGACACTTTGACTGCGGTTTATATATATATATATATATATATATATATATATATATATATATATATATATATATATATATATATATATATATATATATACATACATATATATATATGTATATATATATATATATATATATATATATATATATATACATATATATATATATACATATATATATATATATATATATATATATATATATATATATTTATATATATATACATATATATATATATATATACATGTATATATATATATGTGTGTGTGTGTGTGTGTGTATACTCACTCCATCTCTGCCCGACACAGGAGCTCAGCAGTTCGACCAGTTCGGGAAGATCTTCACGGTGAAGGTTCAGTACATATTCTACAAGGAGAGGCCAGGCGTGCGTCCCGGCCAGGTCTCCAAGGCAGAACGACTCACCACTAGAATCTCTAAATTTGCTCACCACGCCATCGCCGGGGACTACGAGCACGTCAAAGAATTCGCCAGCGATGTGCGCAAGTTGGGCATGCCCGTGGAGCACGCCCCTCAGATCTCCCAACTGCTCAAGCTCGGCACTCAGAACTATGAGGATCTCAAGGTCAGAGCAACACGCAGCCTCTCAATGAATTCTGAAAGATTGGGGAAACACTAAACCCGTAGACATCACATAGCGTCTGAGTAATGAGATGTAGTCAGATTTGATCTAAGAAAGGCAAGGGTGGCTTGAATTTATTGGATCAAAAGCTCTTTACCACTTTGATGGGAAACTTGGGACAAATCCCTCGCCACTGAACCAGTAGACGCACCTGCTACGACGGCGGGATTTATACACCGTGAGTCGTGTGCATCTCAGTGTATATGTGCTGAGAGTTGACTTTAATCTGTACTTTAGGGATTAAGGTTTTCACGACTGGTGGTGAACAGATTACATGCAGCCCCTCGTCTTATGAGCGTGACAATTAGTCAAGATAAAATACAGTAGGCTAACACTGACAATCACTAATGTTGATTAGGTAATGAGGAAAATATAGTTAAGGCTTATGACATCAGAATGTCTAGCAAAACAGTTACTTAGAATTTCATTTCGGTGCTTTCCTAAATCAACATTTGTTTTAATGTCATTCTCAGCTTCGTGATGAGAGTGTGATTTTAGTATTCTCTTCGTCATGTTTATCGGAGTTGTCCCCTCAAGGGAGGTAGGCTCCTTGATGCTGGTGAGGGGCTCTTGATCTAGGGAATTGGATCTGTGCTCCGGTTCCCTGAACTGAGCCTGAATTCCTTTCATCCCCCCCACATGAGCTGTATAATCCTACGGGTTTAGCGCTCCCCCATGATTATAATAATTATCAGAGTTGTTTTATTCGTCAGGAGACTGGACGTGTCTCCTGACACTGGTTGTAATCATACAGAGGGTGTAACATGCATATGTATCAGAGGACAACACATGTATGTCCCTGTATCAAAGGGTGACTCATTTATTAATACCTTTACCTTTTGTGATGTTCAGTACTCCAGGAAAAGATTAAAAACGCAATGCATTTTTTTTAAGCTCTGACGTCGGCTGGTTGAATGATTCCTGGATTGCTGGATCAGTTATTACTAAAGTAAAAAAAATGTAAAAATACTGTTTATTTTGTGAAAAGTTAAACCCTCAAGAGGTGCTATGCAGCCTTAATGAGTCTGTGAGTTGTTGATAGGCTTTCAGCCCAATAAACCTTTATATAAAGCTCACTTATTAACATGACATAACTGTATATCGGTCTCTCATGCAGGTTTTCGCGTCGCTGGTGGAGGAACAGCTGTTTATCTTGACGGTGCACCGTGACCGTGCACTCAATTACAAATCAGAGGAGGTGCAGCTGACGGCGGTGGATGAGTTGTACCTGGAGCAGGACCTAAAGGGAGTTGTTCACAGGATGATCGCAAGAGTCAGAATATTCTTCCTGGGTTTCATCTCTGGTGGGTGTTTTAATCACACTTGTCTTGTTCTTCCTGCTTCTCGTGTCAGGTTCTGCATCTCTTAACTTCTTGTGATTTCTCCTTTTTCCGCCCCTTTAATTTCTTTTTTCTTTTTTTCATTTCTTATTCTTTTGCACTTCTCATCATAGATACATCTTTAAGTACCTATCATTTCTCTTACCTCTTCCATTTAAATCTACCATTTTTATATTATTAACAGTTCTGCATCTCTCATACTTTTCTTCGTCTTTTATCGCTTTCTTATTTTTTTTTTTGTATCTCTGCATCTCTCATTCCTTTCCACCCTTTAAAAAGGTCACAATACCGTGGCTGGAACAAAACGCAAACGACCTGCACTTAGGAGACTGAAACACGTCGACACTTCGCTCCGACTTGGACCGTTAATAAATCACTCCGCCGCTGATCATGTACGCACGTCGCTTTCTCTTTTATGTTTCTGCACCACTCATGTTCTTTTGTTAAGCATCCTTTATCCCTTTCTACATCTTTGAGTAATTATCAAGGTATAAGTTAACCATCACCACTAGAAGGTATCACTTGATCTCCATTGATGTCTCACTGACAAACTGCTGTGGTCATCAATGGGAATGATGTAAATCCTGGCTTTACTTGTTTTTTTTTCTTTGAAGGAGCCACAGTCGTGATGTGTAGTGAAGTTGACTTTAAATCCCATCTTACCCCTTTCCGTTCACCTACACTGTTTCCCGTTATAGTTCATGCCCTTCCGAGTACTATCTATAAAATTTGACAGTTTGGTGTCCAGTCGAAATATCATATGCTAATACGATTTCCATACTACTTGTGTGTAGCTTAGTGACGGTATTTTACATCACTACTCATCACACATTTTTCATATTTCAACAAAAACTTGTCTCAGTACACCTAGTAATCTTTGACTAGAATATTATTACATATGATACAGGTATGCCAGAAGTGGACCTGGGGATCAACGACATGAGGAAGCAGGGGCGGGAAGTGGTGGGTCGCCACGACATCATTCCTGTTATTACCGAGGAGTGGATTCGTCTCGAGGCGGTGGAATTCCACTGTTGTGTAAATAAGGAAGAATTTGAGAAGACTCAACACATCAAGTGAGTGCTCCAAACGTCTGCATCTCTTTCAGCAGTATCTGTGGTCTGTCTGACAAGATGTGTTCTGAAATATTATTTAAAAAAAATGTTAGTCTTTCCGGAATCAGTTCCTTACAGTATAATCCTAGATGCAAGAGCTTTCTGCTGACAGTAATGATATACAGATGCCGAGCAAGCTTTTATTGTGACAACGGCTCGCTCTGTGTAAAGCTTTATCAATTCAGTTCATTACCTTTATAAAGCTCCCCCATATTGCAAAATTTTGATATTCACCCATGTCTTTTCTTCGTTATTATGCCCTTGTTTTACCCCACCTCTAGATACAATTCCTGGTTATAGTAACTTGTGCTGTGCAATATAATAACTTCAAACATCTCTGCCACCCAGATTCAAGCCTCCTGACGCCTGCTACATTGAACTCATGAGGTTCCGTGTGCGTCCTCCCAAGAACCGTGAGCTTCCCCTGCAGGTGAAGACAAAGGTGACCATCCAGGGCAGACGTGTGGACATCTTTAGCGAGATCCTCGTCCCTGGCTTCTCCGGGAGAAAGCTTGGACAGGTAGGTCATAATAAAAAACTGGAAATTATGATCTGCTTAGTAGTTTTTGGTCGTTTGAGCATAGCCTACTGGTTTACCAGTCTACCCTGTCACCAATAAATAACACTTCATTAAAAGTAATGATACGTACTCCAGCCCACATATCTCATGAGCATCGCACAGTAGTGTTCCAGGATATAAAACACAAAATGAGCACGGTATATTCCGATTTAACACGGGTCCTCTTGTTTGTCGAAGAGAACTTCATTGTTAGGGTGATATATATATATATATATATATATATATATATTAGGAGGAGGTGCGGGATTACCAAAACTATTATCCAGAGGGCTGAGGCGGGGTTGTTAAGGTGGTTCGGAAATGTAGAGAGGTTGGAACAAAATAAAATGACTTCAGGAGTGTATAAATCTGTAGTGAAGGGAAGGCGGGGTAGGGGTCGGCCTAGGAAAGGTTGGAGGGAGGGGGTAGTCAAGAGGTGGAATAGTTTGGGAGGCGATGTAGTGGAGGCAGGGTCTATTCATGGAGGTTTCGTGTGCGAGGACCTTGGACTTCCAGCAAGCATGTGTGAGCGTGTTAGATAGGAACGAATGGAGACAAATGATTTTTAGGACTTGACGTGCTGTTGGAGTATGAGGAAGGTAACATTTATGAAGGGATTCAGGGAAACCGGCAGGCCGGACTTGAGTCCTGGAGATGGGAAGTACAGTGCCTGCACACTGAAGGAGGGGTGTTAATGTTGCAGTTTTATAACTGTAGTGTAAACACGCCTCTGGCAAGACAGTGATGGAGTGAACGATGGTGAAAGTTTTTCTTTTTCGGTCCACCCTGCCTTGGTGGGAAACGGCCGATGTGTTAATAATAATAATATATATATATATATATATATATATATATATATATATATATATATATATATATATATATATATATATATATATATATATATATATATATATATATATATATATATATATATATATATATATATATATATATATATATATATATATATATATATATAAATTTGCATAAAACTTTTTCTGCATACATTTTGAAATGCGACAAAGTTGACCTTTTAACATGTATGTTTATCGAGCAAATTTTGGTTCTAGCGTTTCGATGTGATAATTTTCAGGTTCCATGCGAGGATGTGGTGGTTCGGTTTCCCCTGCCAGAGTGTTGGATATACATGTTCAGAGTTGAGAAGCACTTCAGATACGGCTCTGTCAAGTCAGCACACAGGAGGTAACACATCACGTATCATTCCATATACTTTCTAGTATTTCAAGCATACGATGCATTATATTTAAACCACCCTTCGAAGGAGGTGCCTTGATGTCGGTGACTCTTGATCCAAGAAATTTTATTTATCTGTCCCTTCCTTGGACCTAACCTGAATGCCTCCCATTTCCCAGGCGTTATATGACCCTTTACTGATTTAGCGTTTCCCAATGATTAAAATAAACAAATAAATAAATAAACATACCTAAACCAAGAAGGCGAAAATTGGCACAAGGGATGCCGACACAATGGTAAAGACACAAATGCAGTTTAATAAATGGAACATTTATTGACGACATTTCGCCCATGTAGTCTATCAAGTTTACACTGAGCAAAACATCGTTAGTAAAGCTTCTTAAGTTGCACGTGTCTTTGCCATTGGTACAAGAATTATTGCCTAGTTATTGTTTACCTCCTGTTTTCTGTTGGGTGTTAGAGGGATTATCGACGTCACAGCAGCATGGTAAACTTTCTAGCATCAAAATCAATAGAAGTTGTTTACTTACGTATTTAATCCATTGTAATTCCTTAATAATAATATCATGACAAAAAAATGGTTTACGAAATCTTGTCATATTACTATATACCTTGCAGCTGACCACAGTATCTGTAAGTAAAACCATTTATAAGGCTCTGACTCAGTATCTTTTGCGCAATGCCACTTGGCACAACTGTAACAAAAACAATGATTGCATTAGGACAACCTACCTAAATAGCATATATAGAGAAGTCGGTTTAAAGGGCAAGTAAGTCTTTAATAATGGTTATACAATCATATATTTTACATCGTCGTTAAATTATTAGAGTAATAATATTTGTAAAATTATACATATCTTTTTAACATTTTTCTTTTCAGAACGGGAAAAGTAAAGGGTATTGAGCGGTTTATGGGAACTGTAGAAACGCCGGAGTCTGCATTGATGGAAGTTACCTCAGGTCAAGCAAAATACGAACATCAGCACAGAGCCATCGTTTGGCGCATGGCTCGCCTGCCCAAAGAGGGTCAGGGGGCATATAGCACCCATTCCTTCACCTGCCGCATGACCCTCACAGCTTTTGACCAGATGCCAGAGTCCCTAGACAAATACTGTTACTTGGAGTTCACTATGCCGGCCACTACAGTTAGCCACTGTGTGATGCGCTCCGTCTCCGTCACCAGCGAGGAACCACCGGAGAAGTATGTCCGGTACTTGTCTCGCCATGAGTACCGTATCGAGATGACGTTCTCCTCGGGATCTGGTCCAGCTGATTATATCGCCGCCACTATGAAGGATCCAGAGATACAGCAGAAGGAAGAGGCTGCACGCAAGCAGCAGGAGCAACAACAGCAGCAGAATAAGGAGTCTAGTAGTGATGACTCTTCTTAACCTCTGCCTCCTTGGCCCATCTTACTCACAACATGAAGGTTAACTCTGCCTCCTCGGCTAGTGTTGCTTCAGCATTAACAGGGTTATAGAGCCAAGTGTAGCAAGACTATAGTGCAGTTACTGTTGACTTCTGCCAACACCAAGACATCATACGCGATCTTGGGAAGCAAAAAATATGTTATTGCATGGTGCTGGTGTTAACAGTCTATTTATATTGAACATCAAGTGCTAGTTTACAGACATTATGAAATATTGCCTGTTGTGATGTAATTGCACATATATATGAAATTATTTTGGCAAAAGAAGAACAATGTATTGTAGTGCCTAACTGCGTATTATTATTTTTGTGCCAAAAGCGATATGTTTTGGAAACTAGATAAGCTAAGCTAATATATTGTTGGGCACTCGTAACGATGACTAAGGTGCAGCAAATAATTTAATGTTGTGTATTGTATTATATGAGTGAGAGCATTGATATTCATAAGATGGAGAGCTTGACTCTTCGTCACGTACCACAGTGGGACAGTTCCTTGTAGTTGTTGTCTCTGAGAAAATTCTATATACCAAAAAGTAAATTCTGAAAGAGTACTCAACGAGATAAAAAGAAACTCCTTGTCTTGTTTTGTTGTCTAATCTGCCTGTCTAAATAATACCCAGGACTGTGATAGGTTTTTTTGTGGGGAGCTTCCTTGAGGACTTTTTCCGAATGTGGTTCACTATTAATAGTCACCAAATGCGTCGTCTAGTTATCCTGGTTACTGTATATTTTGAAGTAGGTTGAAACGCGTGCGGAACACATATCTTATTTCATGATTTACCCTGTTATTGATGATCGCTTCTCGGCTATGTAATTCATTGATAGGAGAGGTCATAAAAAACTTTAAAATCTAGTTGTTACATAAAATAAACTAAATATATATATATATATATATACTGTATATATATAGCATGCAGTAAATTTCCTGTTGAATATTGGATTTTCTGGATCTGTGCCGTTAAAAAAAAAAAACACAAAATATAAACAATGAGAAGTGGTTACCACGCTGAGACCCATTTCTGTCTTTCTAAAGCAGACCGTCATGTCGTGCTAGGCTACCCTCCTTCTCCTCTACTTACTCTTAACATTTGTAAATTTAATAATCTGATTTGGTCTTAAATATCTAGCCATTATTCTTCTCTATTCTCTTCCTTCAGCATTTTAAAATTAGTTGAAATGCCTAATTTAACGTTATATTTAGCCACAATCTGGTTTGTATCCTTGAGTTTCTTGTCTTTTTTTGTGGTAAGTATACAGTCTTTGACTTACTGACTATGTACTATAATTCACCGTAATGTTTCGAAAATATCTAACTTATACAGTTATTTTGTAACTAATTGCTCCTCTTTATATGCTATAACTATTTTTACTCAGTAATTCTTTTCAATAACGTTGTTCAACTTTTCTGTACATAGTAAATTATTACTGCTTCCCGACTTCAATGACCGAGCTATGTTATTGCATAAATAAGCCCTGCATCACTGTGTTGCTCTTTACTTCCCGTCTTCATGTCTCTTAATTCAATAAACTTACTCTTAAGCTTTCATGTATCGTACATCCCTATACTATCTCATTCTGTACTGCTGTACGTCTGTAATACACAACATATCTTTATCTAAGATACATCTTTATCTAAGATACAATATATCTTTATGTAAGATACAATTTATCTTTATGTAAGATACACTATCTTAATCTAAGATATGTACTATATCAAGATACATCCTATCTTTATCTCTTAGTCTTGCCTTGTGGAGCTAACTTTTTCAGTGGATTTTTGGTTGTCTCCTTTTCACGCTTCATCAATAGCCTACACATAAACATCTCATTGTAGTATCGAGCACAACATGGTTTTGGGGGCCAATATAGAATCGCTATCTTATGAGACAATAGCTACCTTTCTAATATACCAAATTAATATATATATATATATATATATATATATATATATATATTATATATATATATATATATATATATATATATATATATATTAATATATATATATATATATATATATATATATATATATATATATTATATATATATATATATGTACATATATATATATATATATATAATATATATATATATATATATATATATATATATAATATATATATATATATATATGTACATATATATATATATATGTACATATATATATATATATATATATATTATATATATATATATATATATATATATATATATATATATATATATATATATATATATGCATACATATATAAATTTAATGTTAAGTTAGTTAAACATATGATGACCACAGAAGGGTGTGTTCTCTCATAGGATGCTAGATAATGAGGCCCGTAATAGGTGTTGTCTCGGGCTCTGTAAACACGTATTTCAAAGTCTGTTTTTGTATAACTGCACACGGTCACATTTTGCTGCTGTTGGTGTAAATAATAAGATAATTTCTAGTGTTAGATTATTTATGTGTTTTGTTGATTTGTTTGACGTTTAAACTTCTGGTGGTCTTGGAGTACCAGAACGAAGCATTGCAGCAACATACCAAAGAAGTAGGTGATACTTATTATCGGATGCCATAACTCACTGGGGTTCCAGCTTAAATATTATTAATACAAGTCTGCTATTGACGTTGCTATTGGCTCTCTAGTTAAGCTGGTACCTGAGTGAATGCTGCCACCTGATTTCTTCGTGGGAAACCATGAAATTGTTAGTTATTGTAAGTAGGTAAAGCAGCTTTCTCGCTGTCAACTTAATTCCATTTCTTCACATGAGGCGTGTTTGCGATTGCTTGAGGTATCGACATGATGTCTGTCTCATGCAATGTAACACAACACCTGGTAGCGAATGTGAGTGATGTCTGCCCCGAGAATGAAGCTAAATGTATGATATTGTAAGTAGTTTTTTGGTCTCTTACTTCTGTGAACAGGGAAGGATTTCGGTAAACCTTGCACACAGCCAACGAAATCCTGACCAGTGATAATCTGAAGAAATGGACCAAACATTCTAGTGTTATCGTGTACATAGTATGCTGTGGTTCACAGGGTCTCTCCTGTGCGACTGTGGTATTGACTGCCACACAAGGTGATTTACCTGTTGTGTGTAATCAGTCATTCCGATTCTCGTAATGAGGTAATTATCGTTAATTTGCTCTCAGGCGTTATTTTTACGCTATCTGGGAGACAACCTCATGTCTGCTTGCTGTGCCTACTCTCGACTTTTGACATTTACTGAGAAAGGATAATAACCTAGTCACTATGAGTAATAAAATCAGTAAGTTAAGTGGGATGTTGTCACGGCAATACAGATATGTCTCTTCAGGTAGCTGGGTCGGATGAGTGCAATGTCTAGTCATTAGGGTTAAGGATATTCTAGAGTATGAAGATGTATATAGTTCAAAGTGTCTTCTTCACAAGCAGAATGTATTGTGACTATCAATGGATGTTACCACAATATTCTCCCGTGTTCAGCGTTTGCAGATTGTTGTAGTTTGGAAAGTGTTTATTTTCTTCGGCGGGTATTACCTTCGTAAGTAAGGAGATTTTGTAACACCAAGTGTACAGTGTCTGAAACGACAAACTATGAATGCGAGAAGCATTTTCCTTTCCGTTTAAATGAGATCTTACACATTCTCATGGCATACACAGTGTAAAGAGGTATATATTCAGATAATTGCATTCACATTCCATATAACTGCTATATGAATTTATGTAAGTAAAAAAAATCTTCCATTGTTCATTGTATCTAGGCAACATAGGCATTCATTAACAGAAGTAAAAAAAAATACATAGTTTACCCTAAAAAAGGCTGTTGCCATACCACGTTCTCTGTATTAACTTCCATTCCCCTTTCAGTGGACAACCCTTATCACATTCGGGAAATCGACAACTTCGAAAGAATTTTAATAAAGTTTACAGGAGTTGAGCTGATGTGATGTAGGGTGTCTCCCTTTGTATGTCGTAGTCTCGTCCCGAGCGTGTGTGTACTGTATGTAGCCAATAACAAGGGCAAAATAAAAGTGAAATGTTGGACCGACTTTCTTTTTTATTAACCTATGATAAGTGTGCACCTCATGTTAAAATACACACGAGAAGACTTCGTTCGTATTATTACCCCATAAGGGTTGTTAGGCCGCATGAGCAGCTAGTTTATTGTACACTATTGGGTTCTTAGCTTTCTTGTCCATTAAAAAAAGCAGGTTACAAAATCACAACTTAACCGTCCACAGTCGCTTTGCAAATGGAGGTTAAAAGGGAGTTACAATCTGATTGTCGTAACACCAAATTATATCAAGAAGCTATCACCGTTTAGGGTCCCCTCTTTCCCACTTCAATAAGTTGGTTTATTTCTTAATTACAAAGTAAAATAAAACAATGTAAAGTCTTATGAGATATACCCGTTCCTCCCAAAAAAAAAGTCTAATAAAATCTTAAATTGAACTAAGTGCATGTAACTGCATATATAAGTGAATTTCGTCCCACTAGTGTGAATATTTTATCCTCCAAATTCGCGTTGTTTTCTGCTATTTAGAATGTAGTTGCATAGTCTTGAATTGCCTCCACACTTCGTTGTATTTATGTTTTGATATTGTGCATTGCTCAACTGGTCAGATATGTTGTGCTGTAAGTCCCGAATGAGCAGTGCTGTTGGACTCATGCAGTTGCTGCAATATCCAGTTTGAAATGCCCAGCTCACTGTGATGTATTCCACTCCTCAAACTTGTAATACAAGAAATGCGAGCCAAGTGCTGATAAACTTACAGGGTGTAATAAGGAATTATCAATAGCGGCGCCAAGGGAGGCGTTAGCCCCGAAAATTCTCCAATCCCTCAAATAATAATAATAACGCTGCTTCAGAACAACTAGACAGCCACCCCAAATCCCCCATTATCGAAATTCAGGCTCCGAACCTGCGTATTATGTTTGCAACCTACATCTGAGTACGTCCCCTGTATTCACATGACTGTCCGTGGGCCATCTGTTTGATATTGTATTCAGCTGCTGTTTACGTTACTTTGTTAGTTCATCAGGGAACATGTAAAAAAAATTCATATGTACAACTGAGTGTGGAATAGTATATTATACAAGTGGATTAAGGTAGATTATGTACTCGAGAGAGGGTAGATTATATACCTGAGCAAAGGCAGATAATACAGGTGAGGGAGGAATGTCTTGAAGCTGCCCGGGTCAGGTTTCTTGAGTCACCTGACAGTTGGGGCGAGACAACTGATCTCCCTCTCCCCTCCCAACCCTTCCATTCTATCCATGTGTGTGTGCTTACCTATTTGTGGTTGCAGGAGTCAATTCACAACTCCTGGCCCCGCCTCTTTACTGATCGCTACTAGGTCCACTCTTCCATGAGCTTTATCGTATCTCTTAAAGTTATGTATGAATCCTACTTCCATTACATCACTCTTCAGATTGTTCCACTTCTTGGCAACTCTATGGCTGAAGAAATACTTTCTAACATCCCTGTGGCTCATCTGAGCCTTCAGCTTCCAGTTGTGACTCCTTGCTGCTGTGTTCCATCTCTGAAACACCCTGTCCCTATCCACCTTGTCAATTCCTCTTAGTATTTTATGTCGTTATCATGTCCCCTCTATCTCTCCTGTCCTCCAGTGTCGTCAGGTCGATTTGCCTTAACCTCTTCCCTCTTAGCTCCGGGACTAGTCTTGCTGCAAACCTTTGCAGTGTGTGTGTACTCACCTAATTGTAGTTGCAGGGGTCGATTCATAGTTCCTGGCCGTGTATGTGTGGCGTGTACTTACCTAGTTGTGGTTGCAGGGGTCGATTCACAGCTCCTGGCCCCGCCTCTTCACTGGTCGCTACTAGGTCACTCTTCCTGCTACAAAAACTTTATCATACCTCTTCTTAAAGCTATGTATGGATCCTGCCTCCACTACATCGCTTTCCAGACTATTTCACTTCCTGACAACTCTGTGACTGAAGAAATACTTCCTAACATCCCCGTGATTCATCTGTGACCATTGTTGCTGTGTCCCATCTCTGGAACATCCTGTCTCTCTCCACCTTGTCGATTCCTCTCAGTATTTTATATGTCGTTATCATATCCCCCCTATCTCTCCTGTCCTCCAGTGTCGTCAGGTCGATTTCCCTCAACCTCTCCTCGAAGGACATACCCCTTAGCTCCGGGACTAGTCTTGCAAACCTTACGTGCTTGGCTATGTGTGGGTTCCAAACTGGTGCCGCATACTCCAATATGAGCCTAACGTACACAGTGTACAGGTTCCTGAACGATTCCTTATTAAGATGTCGGAATGCTGTTCTAAGGTTTGCTAGGAGCCCATATGCTGCAGCAGTTATTTGGTTGATGTGCGCCTCAGATGTGCCCGGTGTTATACTCAACCCCAAGATCCTTTTCCTTGCGTACAGTCTAGGAGTCTCTGACTCCTAGACTGTACTCCGTCTGTGGTCTTCTTTGCCCTTCCCCAATCTTCATGACTTTGCACTTGGTGGGGTTGAACTCCAGGAGCCAGTTGTTGGACCAGGCCTGCAGCCTGCCCTTTGTAGTTCTGCCTGGTCATCATCCGATTGAATTATTCTTATCAACTTCACATCATCTGCAGACAGGGACACTTCGGAGTCTATTTCTTCCATCATGTCATTCACAATTACAAGAAACAGCACCGATCCTAGGACTGATCCCCATGGCACCCCGCTCGTTACAGGCGCCCACCCTGACACCTCGCCACGTACCATGACTCGCTGTTGTCTTCCTGACAGGTATTCCCTGATCCATTATAGTGCCTTCCCTGTTATCCCTGCTTGGTCCTCCAGCTATTGCACTAATCTCTTGTGTAGAACTGTCAAACGCCTTCTTACAGTCCAAGAAAATGCAATCTACCCACCCCTCTCTCTCTTGTCATACTGCTGTCTCCCTGTCATAGAACTCCAGTAAGTTTGTGACACAAGATTTTCCGTCCCTGAAACTGTGCTGGCTGTCGTTGATAAGCTCATTCATTTCCAGGTGCTGCACCACCCTTCTGATAATCTTCTGAATGACTTTGCGTACTATACACGTCAGTGACACTGGTCTGTAGTTTAATGCTTCATGTCTGTCTCTTTTTTAAAAAATTGGGACATTTGCTGTCTTCCATACCTCATGTAGTAGCCCTGTGTGTGTGTGTGTGTGTGTGTGTGTGTGTGTGTGTGTGTGTGTGTGTGTGTGTGTGTGTGTGTGTGTGTGTGTGTGTGCGTGTGTGTGTGTATGTGTGTGTGTATGTGTGTGTGTCAGTGTGTCAGAGACTGGTGAGCGCGTGACTGCTCCTCCCACTGCACAACACCACTAGGCTGTTGCTACCCACAACACGGGCTGGCGTGGGCCTACAATTCTAGTGTTCATAGTTTGTGTTACTCTGCCACAGTGTTGAAATGGAAAATATTAAGAATGTACTTTGTTTTCTGAGACGCGTGTCATCCAATGGATTCTCACCACAAAATAGACTGGACATTCTTTTCGTAAGTAATTCATTTTTCATTCACTGTAAACTTTTAATTACCATTAAATACGTTGGGCTCTCCCAATACGTTTTTTTTTTCTACGTTAGAATTCCTCAGGACAGAAATAAGTCACTTTCTCTGACTTTTTTTGGGTTATCCTAGGTAATTTACACACTATATGATAATTGTACATATGTGTACCTGTGCCTCAATAAATTTACTTACACTAAGCTTCTTACAAACACATCTTCTGAAAAAAAAATCTTATAGCACAGACTGATTCAAGTGTAGGAGACGAAAAATTAAAGCCTATGAAACTCATATATCAACATCACGCATCACTGCATGGGAACAAAAAAAATCACTCGTTTAATAAACATACCCAAAGTGGTATGTTTATTAAATTAGTGATTGTGTCACTTTCTTACTTATTTCTTCCTGACTGGGATATTCTAGCGGCATTTTAGCCTATCCTAGCCCTCTTTCTCAGTCTTGTCAGCCATGAGGCCTAGCAAAAAAAAAAAAAAAAAAAAAACTTTCATCGCTTTTCGTGGCCTTGAAATGTTATCGCTTTTCCTGGCCCTGAAAAGGTCTAATTGGTCGGTAATTTATTTGCTTGTTCAGTGTGTAACAGAACTCAGCCATCAGCAGCATCCATGTGAAAATTTGTGCACTCTAGCGTAGTGTATGTACACCTAGAAATGTACATCTATCAGTGTATGTACACCTAGAAGTGTACATCTATCAGTGTATATACACCTAGAAATGTACATCTATCAGTGTATATACACCTAGAAATGTGCATCTATCAGTGTATGTACACCTAGAAGTGTACATCTATCAGTGTATGTACACCTAGAAGTGTACATCTATCAGTTTATATACACCGAGAATTGTGTATCTCTCAGTGTATATATACCAAGGAATGTGTATGTCTATATATACAAAGAATTGTGTATCTCTCAGTGTATATACACCAAGAAGCGTGTATCTCTCAGTGCATATACACCGAGAAGTGTCTCAGCATATATACAGCGATATTTTTTTATTCACATTACTTTTATATATACGTAAAGGTCATACAACGCCGTGGAATGGGAGATAATCACGTTTGATCCGAGGAACGGGATGGCAGCTCCATTTCCTTGGATCAGCCTGTAAAATAAACATACTATGACGCTATTTCCATTTCACTACATCAGTTTTGACATTGTGATGACCGTCAGTTTCTCAATGCTTGAAATGTATGTCAGGTTACGTAAACTCCGCAAAACGTACATTTAACTACCGACTATTATACGTCTGGAAGGGAGGTGGCTCAGGAAAGACTTGTAACGTACAAATCTTAACGTTCATCCCTCGTAGTGCTAGAGTGAGCCATATTTTACACGGGAGTATGTGGAACCACACTGGAGTATATGGGAGTACACTGGAGTATATGGGAGTACACTGGATCATATGGGAGTACACTGGAGCATATGGGACCACACTGGAGTATATGGGAGTACACTGGAGCATATGGGAGTACACTGGAGTATATGGGAGTACACTGGATCATATGGGAGTACACTGGAGTATATGGGACCACACTGGAGTATATGGGAGTACACTGGAGCATATGGGAGTACACTGGAGTATATGGGAGTACACTGGAGCATATGGGAGTACACTGGAGTATATGGGACCACACTGGAGTATATGGGAGTACACTGGAGCCTATGGGAGTACACTGGAGTATATGGGAGTACACTGGATCATATGGGAGTACACTGGAGTATATGGGACCACAATGGAGTATATGGGAGTACACTGGAGCATATGGGAGTACACTGGAGTATATGGGAGTACACTGGAGCATATGGGAGTACACTGAAGTATATGGGACCACACTGGAGTATATGGGAGTACACTGGAGCATATGGGAGTACACTGGAGTATATGGGAGTACACTGGAGCATATGGGAGTACACTGGAGTATATGGGAGTACACTGGAGTATATGGGAGTACACCGAGTATATTTGAGTATAATGGGACTACACGGAAGTATATGAGTGCACGGGAGTATATGAGAGTACACGGGAGTATGTGGGAATGCACGGAAGTACACTGGAGTACATGTTAGAAGTAGAGTGCAGAATTTGAAGTCCCAACCGAGGTTATCTGCTGAGGTTTATCTGCTTCTACCTTAATTAAGATATGTTTACTATTATCTAAGTGTTTGAGGCAAGGATAACAAAACAGAAGGCTCTCGCCCCATCCTCCCAACCTCCGTCTTCTGCCAGCATGAGAAAAAAAAAAGCATACTAACAGCGTACTGGAAAAACGTCATGGAATTTAAAGACCGAACTCGACAAAACAATGTGATTACGCGTATGACTTATTTAAAAATATTAAGTGCAGTGACCAATAATTTTCTTTTTCTCCTCAGGGAACTTTCTTCACGCATCTCACCCTGACAGTATGGTAAGTATTATTATTATTGTTGTTGTTGTAGTTGTTGTTGTATTGTGCATCTTCTTTAGTTTCATCAAGTTCAAGGGACTGAACACCTTTTATTAAAGTTTAGGGACCGAATCTCTTTTATTAAGGCTGAGGGACTGTATACCCTTTTTTAAGGTTAATGGACTGGTTACCCTGAGTGTGGTAATGTCCGAAGACCTCACCTTCAAGGACCACAACACTGCCACCATCACATCTGCGAGGAAACTGATAGGATGGATAATGAGAACATTCAAGACAAGAGATGCTAAGCCAATGGTGATCATTTTTAAATCACTTGTTCTCTCTAGGCTGGAATATTGCTTTACATTAACATCCCCATTCAAGGCAGGTGAAATTGCAGATCTAGAGAATGTACACAGAACCTTTACCGCACGTATAAGTTCCATCAAACACCTTAACTACTGGGAACGCCTGGAAGCACTTGACTTGCACTCACTAGAGCGCAGGCGAGAGAGATATATCATAATCTACACCTGGAAGATTCTGGAGGGACTGGTCCCTAATATCCACACAGCAATCACTCCATACGAAAGCAAAAGACTTGATAGGCGATGCAACATACCCCCAGTGAAAAGTAGGGGCGTCACTGGTACACTAAGAGAAAACGCAGTAAGTGTCTGGGGCCCAAACCTGTTCAACAGCCTCCCACTAGCAATAAGGGGCATTACCAGTAGACCCCTGGTTATCTTCAAGAGGGAGCTGGACAGATACCTAAAGTCGGTGCCGGATCAGCCGGGCTGTGGTTCGTACGTTAGACTGCGTGCGGCCAGCAGTAACAGCCTCATTAATCAGGCCCTGATCCACCGGGAGGCCTGGTCGTGGACCGGGCAGCGGGGGCGTTGATCCCCGGAATACCCTCCAGGTAGACCTATTATTAAGGCTGAGGGGCTGAACACATTTTTCATTAAGACTGAGGAAATGAATACCCTTTATTAATACTGAGGGTTAGGTTAGGTAAAGTTTGTCAGGAAACAGGACAAGTGTTTCCTGACGCGGGTCTTAGTCATATGATGACCCACATCTGGAGCTTTTGGTCACATGACTGAGGCCTTTCACTGGCTTACCGGTCCACCCCTCTAAAAATTAGTTATAATTGTAACTAAGGCTGAGGGACTGAACACCTTTTATTAAGGCTGAGGGACTGAGTACCCTTCATCAAAGCTTCAGTTCCTTGGATCGAGAGCCCTTTACTTTCTGAAATCAAGAGGAAAAATTGCTTTAAACTGTACAATAAAGAATCATGTAAATTCTCATTGTATATATGCTTTGATATACATCTTTGTGTATATTCTCTGAACGTTTTATATCTTTCAGTGTACATGCGTTGAGAAACACTTCTTGCGATATAAACATTTAGAGATACTTACCTCCCGGTATATATAATACACTGAGAGACACACACACCTCTTCCTGTATATACAGATACTTCTGTAAGAGTAATACAGTGCGAGATATATACCTCTCTGGCTATTCAGATACGCATCCCTATGTGGATATACAATGAGAGATACACCTCTCAGCAAATACACACTTCTCGGCTTATATAAACAGCAATACACCTCTCGGTGTATAAACACTAAAAGAAACATCTCTCGGAGCATATACACAGCGAGAAACACACCTCTAGGTGTATATACACAAGTGTAACTGGAAACTACCACCCACAGAATAGGCACACGGAGTGTATAATAACACTAGGTTAATGAGGCTTAAAGCCTATCGACTACATGAGATTATTAAGACTGCACGTAACCTGTTCACCAGTCAAGAATACTTTCATCCTTGAAGTAGGGATTAAAATAATCTCTCAGTACATGCATACACATCTCTCGGTGTATATATAGTATATATATATATATATATATATATATTATATATATATATATATTATATATATATATATATATATATATATATATATATATATATATATATATATATATATATAGAGAGAGAGAGAGAGAGAGAGAGAGAGATAGTCTTGGCCGCAAACGCGCTGGAGCCTCGTCAGGTGCTAGCTACACTGAAGAAGGTTCTTCCTTTACAGGAGCAGCATGTGTGAATGTTTGCCACAGACCTTCATGCTGTACAATGCTGTCTTCCTCCTCACCATCCTGTGGAGCCTACACCAGCGTGAGTCTCAAGAAGCTCCCTTCATGGTGAGTCTCGACTCATCCTGCTTATCTGGCTGTGGTTGCAGTGGTCGAGCCTCAGCTGCTGGTCCCCCCTGTTAATAAGCCCTTACCAAGTTCACTCCTCCTTTCTTCTATTATTATTATTACTACTACTAGCAGCAGTACTATTACTACAACTAGCAGTAGTAATAGTATTTTCACTAAGAAGCACTTAATCCATTGAAGTCATATAATGCAGTGGGGCGGGGGAGAAGAAAGATAATCAGCTTTGGTTCAAAGAAGGGAAGGGGTAGCTCTAACTCCTTGGATCAAGAGCTCTTCACCGGCTTCATGGTACCTCTCTGGAAGAAGTACACTATAAAAAGAATTCTGTTTCAGGCTCTGTGCATCAACGCACTGGCGATGGTGTTCGATACTGTGCATCTTGCACTGTTCTGGCCATTAATAATGAGTGAGTATTGTGTACACTTGTGTATCTGAATGTTATATGGAAGAACGTGATTAGTTTTTGCTAATCATTCAGTATTTCTTAATTTTTCTTGCCTAATTTTTAGTTTACCGTCTTTATTATGCACCCCATAACCATCCTGTGGATGGTAGCGCAAGAGTATATGGATACACAAAGAACCTGGGAACTTGACCCCAAACGGGGGTTAACGGGAATACATCTAGGTACATATTTACGAATTATATTTCATAATTAACAAACTAATTTAGGATGGTTGCTCATAGTATCAATGTTGAAACCAAGAACAATATTAGATTATTTTTATTCAATTGACAAGTAATAAAATTGTATGGATAACTAAGACCACTAAAACCAATAATTTATCTTCATGCGATTAAAGCTGGACCGATGAAGTTTGGTGGAGGAATGGTGGTGCTGAACCTTATGCTCCGTCCTTTCTCCAGCTTCCTACTTTTCCGTATTGTGCAGGAGAGAGCCCAGGCTCGGGGCACCTACCACCTACCTTCCGGCTTCGAACGCATTTTCGGTACGTATATGTTTAGTGAAGTGGTATGCGAGGTGACAGCAGCAACTACTTGAAGAAGTACAAGATACACACCGAGAAGTGTATGTCCCTCGGTGTTTGAGTGTTTAATATTTACCTAATGGTTATAATCATAAACATAATATTTAAAGGGGTGGACCAGTAAGCCAGCGGAAGGCCTCTGTCAGATGACCAAAAACTCCAGTATAATATACATTATAGATGCTACTTATTTTCTGATTTTCACTAGCTTTGATAATTTTGTTATATCGAGAGGTTTCTTTGTCATGAAGAAATAACTTTAGAGTTTTTTGTAATAAATTCTTCCCTTGTCACATATACTCTTAATTTTGTAATTTACTGCAATATGTATTAGTCGTGTTTGTCACTGATATCGATATACTTCTTGACACAGCTGGCCACAAACGTGGCCTATATGAAGATATTGACCAGACTCCAAGGAGCGAGCCTGTCACCCTCCACTCTGAGACTGCTCCAATTTCCTCGACGCCACATAAACAAGAAACATTTGTTGTGTGATAAGATACACAGAGTCCAGGATGGGTATAACCTGCATAATCATTGAAACTTACGTGTGTATTATTGGGTTATCTTAAAACAAACTCTATTTCTTTGTGCAGTATACAAAATGTAGTTAACATATAATAAATATTGTTAAACACAAACGAAAGCTATTTACATTTTATGCATTAGATTAAAGCTAC